GAGCTGAGAGGAGGCTGCTTTTCTGGGCAAAAACAGTGCAGACACAGACCAGTGGGCTTCCTACCACGGGGGCTCCTCGGGACAGGCGACCTCTGAGCACGGTCAGGGTTCCTCTCTCAGCTCTGCATTTTAGGCTGTGGGCCAGAAACTGCTGGTGGTGCCACCCTGAGAGAAGGACGGCGGGTTGAAAATCAGTATTTCATTTTCCTTTTTAGTTTTGTTTTAATAGGGGGTTGAAGCAATTAAGAGATCAGGGGAGCTACCCTAATTTTTTATTTTTATTTTTGTACTATGCTCACTTTCCCCAGCAGAATACCTAAGACCTTTAATGGGTTTAGAGGCACTTAACAGGGTATCTGGGAGGGATAGTTTCTCTCATTTCCTCAGCAGATCCAGAAAGGTGATGAAGATCAGAACTAAGGACATCGTGTATGCTTATTCGTTTACATACAATTCTATCGTATATTTTAGTATTGCAAATGCAGAATCTTTTGCCTAACCTGAAAATTATATATGCACCGATGAACACTAGAGTTACAGTCAAGTGTAGCTCTTAGTATTGTCCTTCACTTTTCTTCTGTGCCATAGGTTCCTATTGTGTTCTTTAACTTTCAGGCATTTTGAAGCAAATACTCTTGACTTGGACATCTTGCTAGGTCTCCATTAGTAAGCAATCTCTTTTCCGTATTTCAGGTTTTTCCCTTAAGAGATGATGCTGTTTCACCCTATGGTGAACTTGTAGATGTCTCTCCAGATGAGCAAGAAAAGGTCTATGTAAACTAGCCAGACAAATCTAGGATATTATTTGTTGCATCTATTTGTGTCATTTGTTTGCTGATTTTTTTGGAGCAAAAATCCTATCATAATTTGATCCAGAATTTAACACTCCTATTTATTTTTAGGTTGCATAATACCATTTTATTCTGTTAGCCAATATAGAGGGAACTTAACACTGTGTTATAATGGAAATGCTGAGAAAGATTTTAATTTAGAGTGTACAATAAACTTAAATTTATTATCTCTTGTAGATTGCCATTTGTTTCTCCTACGAGACTGCATTTTTCAAGGTTTTATTTTGTGTCACAATTATTTTTGTTAAATATGTGGAAAAATATATGAGGTGCTTTTTAAGAATGGGTGGTATAGAAATGCACATTGTTCTTAATTAATGTGTGCCTTAATTAGCTGTGCCTTGCCAGGGGCAAAATAAAGACCCTTTCAGGGGTCTTTCCCCTGACCAGGTTGAAAGTGTAGGGAGGAGTAGGTCACTCTATTCATCTTTTAAGCTCAGAAGTTATCATTGCTTTCTGTGCACAGGGATGAATGAGCTCCAGGGAGCTAATAAGAATCCATTTTGTGCAGACAAGTGGTAAGAGATGGATGTAGATGAAGAATGAGCAGAAGCATAATTCACCAGTGTACCTGATGGCATAGTGACGTTGATGTTTCTTGGCTCATATATCACCCCAGGTGCAGATATGTGTCAGTTTATTTCTGTCTGATACAATGGAGAGACCGGGAGGGATATTATGACTTTTTAAGTCACTATCTTTCAGCCAGGCTGCTTTGGGGGCAATGCAATTACATGCACTTCTGCCTACGGGCTTGATAGCAAACTGACACTCCCGCCCACAGCTAGAGGAGCGATCAGTTAAGGATGACAGTGTTGCATAAACAGTTAAGTTGGCCCTGTATCTTGTCTGTCCTGTGGTGCTGTAGCAGCCTCACCTCTGCTGAAGTGGAGCCCGTGAATCCCTGTGGCTAATGTTACCTTTCTCAAATTGCTATTACACAGGTGTCAAATACCTAGTACCTCCTACAAGGTGTAAATCTAGATTTTCCCCTCTGTATCACAAACATACAGATCTGATCTGTTCTTTGCAAATGTGGCAGACAAATATCTTGTCTAGATACAGGACATGAAGCTGTTGACAAGTAGGAAGGGCAGGCTGAATTTCATGCAGCTTTAGAAGACTTTTAATGTTCCTTAGGGGCCTAACCCCTGACCCTGTGTTCCTTATGCTTGTAAATCTTCTTTCTTTCTTTCTTTTAATGGATCCATGTGTAACTAGGCCTAAGGATAATTCACTTGACTAGGAGTTGCAGGACTAAGACTGTATTTTCTGTGACACAAAGTAATGTTGCCAGTAGGCCACATCAATGCATATAAGAAATGGAAAATCCTGATGTACATTGAGCATCGGATTTTCAGAGTAAATCAACAAATCCAGATAAAGTCAAAATCTCAGTTACATGTACAATATGCATTCTTGTTGATGTCATCAAGAACATGCATTTTATTGCATTTCAGATGTCTGAAATGACAGTTTTCAACATCTTTAGGCTTTGTTACAGCATAATGGTTTAGTTTTATAACAACAAGCCAGAATATTGCCTGTCACAGAATTATTTGTTGAACTGAACTTTGTGTTTTCTGTTTTGTTTAAAAATTAAAACTGTCTTTTTATTTCCAACTCTGCCTATAATACCTGTGTTCTGAAGAACATGTAGTTTGAAAACTGTCTGTGTACTGCAACAGAAAAAAAGACAGCTCTTGGTTCCTATATGCTGTGATCAAATGTAGGACTAAAAGGCCACAAGTGCAAGCCACATTGGGCAGGATGGTTTACCTTCTACCTTTCATGTCTGAGCATGGTAAGACATTATCTTTGAAACATGATTTTAAACATTTAAATATATTAAAAAAGAAAGCAGCATTGTTTGAATATGTGATTAATTTTGCTGCAAATCCCTGTTATTAACAAATAGACCCTTTTAAATTTATTGAATGCAGTTGCATGGGCAACTGAAAGAAGATACAAATGAAAGAAGATACAAATGCTGTTCAGCTCCTGGAATGTCAGTCGTGGTATGATACACGATTCTCAAAAAGCTGACATTGCACCATGTAGTCAAACTTTTATTTATAGAAATAATTAGAAAATTAATGGTAAAACTATTCATATGTATATGAAAAGCCAATGATACAAATGGAAGTTTCACTGGTTTTGAGGAATAATCACTGAATAAAATGTCACACTTTCTCTCTGAGATGAAGCTTAATTTGCTTTGCATTACATATTCTTCATATACAATTGTTTCATTCAAATGTGTACAGCTTGATCAATAGCCCCTTATATCAATAAGGGCTATAAGAAAACTTACAAATTTCAGTGTATAGTGGTGCGCATGTCAGACCAGTTATGACCTTTATATCCATTGCTTCAGGAGGATGTTAAAACATAGACATCAGAAACAGATGTGATTTTTGATTTGTGTTTCCAGTGAGTATTTTACAACCTTGTGCATCTCTCCTCTATAAGATTAGAACCAAATTTATCCTTCTCACAGTTGCTGACTTCACTGGTATATTGAGCAGCAGCAGATAGGGCATAGTGCCAACAGAGATGGGTGACTTCTGTTGTTTACTTCGGGTTTAGCCTGGGACCAACAATTTTTTATTTTTTTTTTTCTTCTACAAGACTGGTTTGATCTGTGTCATTACAAGGATTACTAGGAAGAACATAAATACTTGTACTCCAGCAAGCTGACAGGTCCCCAGCTCCTGGTATTAATCACGGATAGTTCTCTAGCACTGTGCCATAATTTTCCAAAGACCATTTCTTGTGCAGATATACCCAAAAAAGACACAGGAGCATATGGTAATCTTATCAAATGCCTACGCTTACAGTTACAGGAGGAAAGGCATTTTTAGAGGAGAGGATCCTGAAAAGCAATAGTTTTTTGCATATCAACAGCTTGAGCCTTCTCAATTTTTCCACAGTAGGAAATCTGATCTAGAGCATATGGTGAGTTTACATGCACAAGCATGATAGACTTAAAATGGCAGTTCTTAATTAGCACCTTATTAGTGTTCAGGTGCTAGCCATGTTTAGCAACAGCATGGAATATACAGCCTAGATTTTTACATCTAGAATGGGATTACACCTGTTTAACACAGGTGCTAGCTATATTGGGGCTGATTTTATTAACGACAATAGAGCTTTTCTAATGCCAAATAATACTTTTAAAATCCTTGAAATATCTTTTGAACTACTACAAATTAAACCAAAAATCTATGTCAATGTACCACAAATATTCTGCAGGCTGTACTTGCTTTTACCACCCATAATTTTGAGATAAAATATCTAAACTTGCCAAAAGTTTGACAAAGATAATTGCAGCACTGTTGCTAAGCTCTCTGTATAAGCAATCTGTATTCAGTTTACACACAGTTACATTTAGAAAGTAAAACTGGAAAATTACTTCTTCTAGTTAGATGCTTGAAATATTTTTTCTAACGTTGCTTTTATGAAAGCAAATATTATTTATTTATGGTTTAGGCTTGTCACCTGTCCATCACAGATTAAGAATTATAGGATGAGTGAGGATGGAGGCAAAGCTTTTATCCTTCAAATAAAAATCTCTGAAACGCTAGAAATGTTGTATTGTTAATGGAAAAAAAAAAAAAAAAAGCCTTGCTTTGACAGAACAGTTTACCTGCTAGGTATCTAAACTACTTCACAAACTACACTCTTGTTTTCTGTTTGACATTAAAACAAACAAACCAAAAACAAACAAACAAACAAATAATAAAAAAAAACTGTTAACAAAAGTATTGTAAACAAAAGCAGCAGGAGTTTAGTTTATCTAGTAGCAGATAATAGGTATCAAAGATTTACTGTGTAGTAATCACATTGGAAGACTAGTTCCACAAGAAAACTGAAAATTATGTTTTTGTTGAAGGAAAGCATCATACACAAATTTCCAACATACTAACTGCTTTCAAGAACTGATTGCTATATTTGCCTATCCATTTAAACCTTAAAAAACATAAGGCATTAAGCATAGTCTTTTGTTTAACCAGAGTGTCTTCAGTTATTCAGGGTTGTGGGAATGGGTTTGGGTTGAGTTAGGTTCCTACTACACAATAACTAGAGAGAAAAGTAATTAGTTGAAGACCTTGTAGATGACTTTTGAGGAAATAAAGGATGATTTAAAGCACCTGGGCAGTCTGAAAGCCAAACCCACCTAGTTGTTATAGGCCCTTTTTGCTGAGTTCTACGTGAAACATAGAAGTTAAGGGGAAGAAATGTTAAAGATGCATGAGGAAAAGCTATCAGAAATTGTAAGTGTTTATCTGAGTGATAGAATAGCTAAAAATAAGTCAATTTCTACTGCTTTGTATGTGGTGAGATACAATGATAGTGTTGAACAAAAAGGTGACCCTTTCTTATAATAGCAATGTGAAGTAGGATGGTTTCAGTTTGCCGAGAGCTAGTCCCTAACTGAATTTTCAGAGGCTTGTAATGTGAGGTAAGGTACATGTTCAAATCAATACTAATAGTCTTTCTAACTTGTTTAATGCTTGGAACAGACTAAAAACAAAACTGAAAAAAAAAACACCCCACTGTGATAAATGATGCATCTGGCTATTGTTGTTTCTTCTTGTGGTTAAATTCGTGTGAACAAGTGTTTTCTCTTTTTTTGTTGTCTGTCTTTTTTTTTTTTTGGGGGGGGGGGGGGGGGGACATATTCACTGTTATAGGTTATCTTTATTTAATTCTGTGGCTGGCTGTGAATAGCAATATTCATATTTGAAACTTTTTTTTTTTTTGTCAGGCTGTGTTTTTTTTTGGTGACAGTACCAGTCATGCAGCATCACTTATGTTCCTTAAAAAATAAATTTAGGGAATATAAGCAGTTCTAGCACAAGCTGTTGCCCAAAATGGCAGCTTGAGCAAGCTAAAACAGTGTTACAGAGATGAACTGGTTTTTTTTTTTTTTTTTTCTTTTTTCTTTTTTTTTAGGGTTATTGCATTTAGAGATTTGAATATTCACAAAAATGAATGTGGAGCTTTCATGTTTTTTCATTATCTTCACTGGAAAGTAGCGTGCCTGAACAAATTAGTTAAATCTGTTTAGAGAACTAAATATGACCGTGGGAGGATAATTTTAGTGTCTAATCTTACACAGTCATTCCAAGCTAATTTTATTCTCCCTTTTTTAACTTGATGTCTTACTAAAATCAAGATAACTTTCTCTTTACAAATATTTATATGACAAAATATTTATTGTATGTTGTGAAATATATTTATAGAGATATAAACCATCAGCTATAATACTAAAATGCAGTAACATATAGTAAAGTTTCTAAAATATGAATATTGGTGTTTCTGGGTGAAGGGAACAAAAATGTTAGACTGAGCTGTGGATTTCTTTCTTTTGGATGTGGATTTGTCAGCACCTCTAACTTTCTACCAATCTGCTTTAGCTTTTTTAATAAGTACAAAATGATTAAAAAAAAAGAAATTAGTTATGCATTCTGACTTGGATCTTGCACTTGGATATGCACTGGTGTATTTTCTGAGTAACATGTTTTTATTTGAGAAGTGAGAATGATTTATTGCTTACACATGGGAAAGAAAGGAATAGTAATACTTTTTAACTGGTGTTCTAAATTTTCAGGCACTGACAATCATAGGTGTGGTCTGAAAAGCAGATGTTAAGAAAACTTTGAAAAAACCTATCCTATTATTTCTTCAGCTAAAAATGGCCAACTTACCTACTTTTTCTTTTCTCTGGAAGACTAATCTGAGTTTTTGTCACTTTTAATATTCTCCTACCCCTCTAAAATGAGAATTACCACTTCTGGTATCATTAATAGTACAGGAAACATACAGACAAAATTTGTTGAAGGAGGTAGTCATTGAATGGTCATTAATTTCTTGCTAAAAGGGGGGATAGTGACTTTAAACATATTCTGTAGAATAAGAGTATGCTATATCTATATAGGTGTTAGGAAGGAAGAAATTACCAGTAGTAAACTTCAAAATGCATTATCTATACTGGGCAATTAAGTTTTTTTCCAATGAACTGATGGACAAAAATTTGCTTATTTAGCCATCTCTGTCAGAAACCATTGCTTAGAAGCCAAAAGAAGACAAATGTTTCTGTAGACAGATGAGTACACTTGTAAGAAAAAGATATTACAGCTTTATTTATAATAGTGATATCCTGTTATTCACTTAATCCTGTCTTACATAGAAAAGAGATTTTTCTTTCTCCGTTATGAAGAGTTGTAATTCTCAGAAAGTGAGCATAGAACCATATGGACATTTAGCCACAAAGACTAGATGCTATATAGCATTTAATCAGTAGCAGCAAGACTGTATGTGAGGCTGTAAGTGAACTTGCAATATCTACAGGCACAGCAAAACAATTTAAGGACAAAACAAGGTCTGATCAAGTACAACTTCACCTTCTGCCCTTAGTTTTCCTTTCTACTATTGAATGAAGTCAAATGCAGTGTTTTACTTGAATGTTTTGCTTAGTATTTCCACATAAGTTGTAACAGTAAACATAATCATATATGCTCACATTCAAGAGCTTTACTGTTCATAAACACATACAGTAGGCACATGTGTAAACAAACAGGTGAGCGTGGGATCACAAGTCTGTATGAATGCATGAAACTATGACCGAGATGACAGCTGCCAGCTCTCTGTGATGTAATGCACAAGCTGGGTACTGTCTGCAAGTCTTTCCCTGAAGTTTAGGATTGCCTCTCATGTCCTGTGGGGCTGCACAAGCATGGGTAGGAGGGAGCCAGCCCATATGGGTGCAGGAAGAAGACTTGCTCTTTTAGTGGCAGTGTGACGTGGTTGCTCAAACTCAGCATTGAAGTGCAGTTTTCAAACTAAAGGATAGGACTTCTCTCTCTCTTTGGTAAGGTGTTTGGACAGTGACAGTGTGAAGAGTTTGATTTCTAAACTTCAAGTATTTGTGTGGCAGAAAATTGAGTCATAGTATATGGATACTTTCCTTCTAACTGTTCTTGCTTTATGTCCTTGAAGAGTTTGAAAAGGAGGTTAAACTTCATTAAATGTAAATACTTAGATGAGAAATATTTGAGAAACATGCTGAATTGCTTTATGACCTGTAAAGCTATATTTTCATCTAAAGCAACTCTTTGTTAGGTGTATGTACATCCTAGCAGTAGACCTGGTAAGGTAAAAGGACAGATTGTTCCTAGAACAAGCCATCAAGAGAGGCAAGAGAGCAACAGTACAACATGAGGAAAATAGGAAAACAATCAGGCTGTAGTGATGGGTGATTTCAATTTCCCAGTATGAACTGGGAAAACTGAAAAGCATGGCACAATGAAAAATAAAATTATAGAAGAAATAAAGACTTATTGACCTGTGGTGTCAGACTCCTAATAGGACTTGTCCTATCCAATTTCAGCAAAAATGTGCAGTTAGTAGATTAGAAACAGCAGAGCTACTTGGCTCAAGTGACCCCATGATTAAATTCAATATAACTTAGAACACTAAGCCAAATATATCAAAACCACAATATGAATTCTCAAAGGTCTACTTTAAAGGTATATGAAAACTGTGAAAAATGTACAAAGAAACAATAATGGAGAATATCTTCAGTGGAGAGAAGTTTTTTCTGACATTTGAGATGCAGTTTTTGGGGGAAGGAAGATAATGATGTGGTTGTGGGGAAGTAATCCCTACAGTTTGACTGGTATATGTATTTACTCTAAACTCATGATTTAATAAACGTGTTCCATTACTGAATTTCTGCTAAAATTATTGTGTGTGAAGTATAGCTACAGCCATACCTGGGTTTGTGGGGGCACCAATCATTGCCTATCCTTTTGATAACCGTAGATAGGTTGCTCAGAAGGTGCATATTCCTGTAGTAAGTGATTTAACCTCAGTCATTGTCTACAGCACAGGACCATCTTTGGAAAAATAAATCTGTTAGATTGTTTGGATCTCACAGAAAAATGATGAGCATCTAGGAATCGAGTTGTGGAGGAACTGGGGCTTCTAGCAGTGCACTGGGTGGTTATGTAACTGTCATATTAATGGTTTTGCACTAAACATCTGCTAAAATGAATAGTTATCAATGTAGACATTTGAATCATGTCTGGTAGGATTTAAAACTTGGCATTATGTATGTTAGGTGAATCAGTCTTAAAATTAGACATGTTTGCGTTTATCTGTATAATTTGAATTTCCTTGTTTTCTTTGCCCCTGTAACTCAAACATTATATAAATGACTTAAAATAACTAGAGACTTTAGTCTCTCAGAATACTTAAAATTCATATGAAACCTCTTTGTGCTTAAAAATAGTTGAGACAAAACTTGTCATGGGTTATGGTAAGTGGGAAGAACTGTGAAATGACTGCAAAACAAAAACAAAAACCAACGAACCAACCAAACAAAACATGATACTGACCCTAATCTTTGTAAAGCTTAGATTTTTCATAATGGGCATCTAAAAATGTCTTAAATTTCAACAAGATGATGTTTTCAACTGTAAAATAGAAGAAGACTGGTGTTTGAAGATTTCAGATTCTGCTGTGAGATATCCATTTATGACCAAAATAAATAAGCTTTACAGATCATTAAACTCTGTTGCTGAGATACCTCCTTATAACTTGTCCCACATTTCAATGTTTGTAGGCTTTTTAGATGACCATCTCTCTTCTTCTTTATTTCATTTTATTTTTTTTAAATCTGTATCTCACAGCTTTCATTTGTCTGGGACATGTGATAGCCCCCTATGATAGATGATGTCTTTGATTTCATCACTGTAAAATGGAAAGGGAAGGGTTAAATACCTGTTTAGGAATTAAGTAGGAGGAGGCACCATAATGAAAAATGCTGACAATTTACAATATTACAGTGCTATAAGACTCAAGTGTTAATTTCAGTTCTAACTTAGTTTTAGTGTTCTCTATAGTAGTAGTGACTCCATTCTTGTGCAGCAAATTGCTTGAACACCTCAACTGCTGTTTGGTTGCCAAGGTCATACCTCTTTTTTTCTTTTCTGTTTTTCCATATTTAGCAAAGACATCGTCCTGTGACCAGTGGTAACATAGTGGGAATGGGAAGTGAGAATGTATGCCTTGTTTCATCACTTGCCTTGTTTCAATCTCTTGCCTGTGGCCTTCATGTCATTTCAGACTCCACCATCTATTTTGCCCTACTCTGAGTTATCACTTTTATAGTATTACCTAAGAATGCATTTGTAGAATTCAGCCTTTGGGGGGAACTGTGACAATGGTAAAGATAAAGGACACGTCACCTGTAACCTACAATTACTTTCATGGCTTCTTTCAATGGCTCATTTACATTATGTTTTGTTACTTGAGCATTGGTTCTCTGTCTTGGCTCTTCTGTAAGTGTTGCAGAGGAAGAAGGATCTTTTTCTTTAAGAGCTCTAGTCAGACCAGGCCTTCTGTCTTCTTTCATGAAACTTTAAGGTTTCAGAATGTTCTTGTTTCTCATTAGAC